ATAATTTCACATGACTAGCCTTCATACATTATATTGATTTGTTGAAATTTAACTATTGATTTGCAGTTTGAAGATTACAAAGAAAGCAACCGTAGTGGAAGAACATTGATATCAATTTCAGGACTCTTTGTGTGGACTTTGCAGGTTAGTATGTGTTTTGTTGTTTTCTTTAATAGTATGGAGGTATTAGTCTTTAATAGTATGAGGGTATAATTCTTGTTTGCTATATGTATAGGTTATATACTTAATGGATAAAAGTTGGATAAATATATTGAATAGGCTTGATCCTTTATATGAGAATGGAGCGAAAGAATTTCTTCATTTTGCATCATTAGATAGGCCAGATGCATTTGCAATATTGTGTCCATGTCGAAAGTGTCGTAATATGAAATTTGTTCGAAAAGATTTGATTGTTGAACATATTGTGGTTGATGGATTTTTAACTAGTTACACTAGTTGGATTTATCATGGTGAGGAGCTATTTTCATTAAAATTGGTCAATCAATTAGATAAAGGTGATGAGGTGCAAGACATGTTACATGAAGCATTTGGAATTCCTCCTACATCTTTTGTTGATATGGACACTAGTGCTGAAGGATTTGATGGGTCAAATCAACATAACATGGGTTTTGATAAGAAGACTGAAGAATTCTTTCACTTACTGAAAGAAGCTGAACGTGAGTTATATCCTGGAAGCAAGTATTCACTACTTTCATTCCTTGTTCGTCTATTACACTTAAAGTGTCTCAATGGATGGAGTAACAAATCATTTTCCATGCTATTAGAGTTGTTAAAAGTTGTGCTTCCAGAAGGTGAAACATTGCCCAAGTCCTTTTATGATTCAAAGAAGATTATTAAGATTTAGGACTTGAATATAAAAAGATACATGCATGTCCAATGATTGTATGATTTATTGGAATGAGACGAAAGATAGAATGTCTTGTAAGTTTTGCAAAGCTCCACGATACAAACAGTTCAAAGGTGCATCAGTTAATTCCAGTTCAGAAACATCAAAAATTCCATCAAAGGTGTTTAGATATTTTCCATTAATACCACGACTTCAAAGACTATTTATGTCAGCTAAAACATCTACTCAAATGAGATGGCATGCTGAAGGTCGCACTAGAGATGGGGTAATGCGACATCCTGCTGACAGTATTGCTTGGAGGAAATTTGATGAAGCACATATAGATTTTGCTCAAGATCCTCAAAATGTTTGACTTGGATTGGCTTCAGATGGCTTTAGTCCATTTAAGTCTATGTCTATCTCACATAGCACATGGCCTGTTATCTTGATTCCATATAATTTGCCACCATGGTTGTGCATGAAACAACCATATATGATATTATCAACTATTATTGATGGTCCTCGTGCACCAGGTAATGATATTGATGTCTATCTACAACCCTTAGTTGATGAGTTAAAAGAATTGTGGGTTGGTGTTGCCACTTATGACATATCAAACAATCACATGTTTCAAATGTGTGCAACATTGCTTTGGACAATTAGTGACTTTCCAGGTTAGGTAGCTTATCAGGATATGGTGTGAAAACTAGATATGATTGTCCATGTTGTCTTACCAAAACTAAATATACAAGATTGAAAAAATGGGCGAAAATATTGTTTCATGTCTCATAGACGATGGTTATCTCATGGACACAAGTTTCGAAAAGATAAAGTGGCATTCAATGGCCATGTGGAGTTAGATGGAGCACCTAAACGGTTGACGGGAATTGAGATTCTTAAGCAATTGAATAATGTTAAAAACAAGTTTGGTAAAGATCTATTGGCCAAATCTCGTAAAAGGAAATGGGATGATGTTGATAAATTGGTGCAAAATATATGGAACAAAAAGAGCATATTTTTTGAGTTGGAATACTGGAAAGACAATACGATTCGTCATAATCTTGATACAATGCATATTGAAAAGAATGTCTTTGACAATATATTTTGGACATTATTGAATGTTGATGGAAAAGGAAAAGATAATTTAAACTCCCGTTTAGATTTACAAGAGATGGGGATCCGAAAAGCTTTGCATCCTAAGAAAAAGGCTAATGGAAAATATTATCTTCCTCCTGCATGTTTCACATTGAGTAACACACAAAAAGACATCCTCTTACAAGTGTTAAAAGATGTGAAAGTGCCAGACGGATATGCTTCAAATATCTCAAGTTGTGTTGATCTCAAGCAACGCACAATGCATGGGTTGAAGAGTCATGACTGCCATATTTTAATGCAACAACTCCTTCCTATTGCCTTGCGGAATCTCCTGCCGATGAATGTACTTAAGCCAATGATTGAATTAAGTAATTTCTTTAGGGGCATTTGTTCAAAAGATCTGAAGATAGGTGACTTAGAAAAACTCCAAGATCGAGTTGCAATAACTCTATGTCATTTGGAGAGAATATTTCCTCCATCTTTCTTTGATATCATGGAACATCTACTTATCCATTTAGCTGAAGAAGCAATGTTGGGAGGACCTTCACAATATCGCTCAATGTGGTTTATCGAACGGT